TTCCCAAAGTCCATTCCTATGCTAGGGATAAATACTGATCCACTACTAGAGGCCCTAAAGATTGCCAAGGCCTCCTCACTGACACCCACGTTCAAGGAGTCTGGATCAGTCCTACGCTGGATTCCCAACTATCAGTCTGGGGTCCATGAGCTTCCCCCTTGTTCAGTTCAGCTGTTTCTGTGGAGAATTTCAGATTATTTTTTTAAAAAATAAAATAAAACCAGAAATGTCTGTTTTGAAGCAAGGAAACAAAACCAAAAACCCTCAGCTCGCTTCTAGAATAGTAAAAGTCCGCCTGATTTTAAAGGAATAACGGCAAATTTCGTAACGGAGGCGGAGAGAGAAAACACTTGAAAAGCACTCTTAGATAAAAATAAAAAGGGGATAGCTGGGTTCCTGGCTATTCTAGGAAGGGACACCGCGAGATGTCGCTTCCTCTACACCAGGGGGCGCGTTTTCTTCAGGATTGCGTCCAGGGAACGAACTTAAAAACTTCGCAGCCAGACTTGTTCAGAGCCCCCCCAGCCGGAAATCACTGCAGATAACAGCCCTCCAGTGTCTGGAAATGTTTAATTACCTGGAGCGCTCCTTCCTCCAGCTTCCCTTGCAGGACCCGCACCAGGGCTGCGGGCGTGGTCGGTGATTTTAATCCAGGGTTCCACCTCAACCTCACCGAACTCCGCTGCAAACACCACCGGGTCTATTCTGCTGCACTCACTTCCAACCTTGGAGGAAAGAAACCTTCAATACCGTCAGAGCACAGCTGGTTGTGTGTCAAAAATGAGGCTAACCATTCACGTGTATTTTACAAAACAAAACAACAACCCCCCCAACCTCTACCGTGCCCTTCGAACATTGTACAAATCATGATCGTTTCATTTTACCGAATGACCAGGGTTCGTGCAACCCCATGTGTATGTTCGCGTTTCCTACATATCCTTGAAACAGAAACAAAGACAAAGGTGGATGGACACCCATGCGGGTGTCTTGTTCTGTCTGTTGCCAGTGAGAAGATGCTAGAACGACCACAAGAAACTTAGGACGCGGGAAGCGCCTGGGAAAATGGTGCTCACTTTCCCTTTCAGTTTGTTACTTGTCCGTCACTGTCACAACAATAAACATCCGCTGTAGCATTCATGGGTTCCTAGTCTCACAACCTTAGCTGGCTTGCACGTTTCCAGAGGCGGTAAGGTCGCCTGTGTGTACATAAGTTGCTACCTACCTCCGGAGTTTAACCCCACCTCTTCCGAGCTGGATTTTGACCTGATTGACTCTAATGGTTCCAGAGGAACTATCAAGCCCTTACAATTCATCATCTAAATGAATACAGAGGGAAATCTAAATCTCCTCGCTATTTGAACGCTCCGTTCATAGGGAGGGTTTAATAATGAGACCCCCACCTCAAAAAAAAAGTTCGAAAAGTAGTTACAGGAAAGTTTGCTGCGGAAGCAACGCCTCTCAAATGTTAAGTAAATTCCACTTAGCCATAGAATGAGGTCACTTTTGTGTATCTGGGCAGTGTGGACAGGCAAGTTTCATGATTCAAAAAAAAAAAAAACAACAAAAAAAAACAAAGCAAAACAAAACAAAAAACACACAAAACAAAAAAACAAGCGGAGACCACCCAAACCAATTTTAGCTCCAAGACAGGCTGTATCTTGTGTATCTTGTTCTTTCCCGATGAGCGGAAAGGGGCTAAGGTTAGTGAGCACACATGGAGGTCAATACTATCCCAGGTATGCCTCCGAATAAGGCAGCCAGGACCACAGCAGCAGCTGCACCGCCCCCCTCCCACCCCACCCCCCACCCTCCGGCTTGGTCAAAGTTCGAGGGGATTCTCTTGCAGGGCTGTGGCTCGCGCTCTGGCTGGGGCTCTATCAGGACCAAGATGCCCAGGGCAGCACGCGTGGGGCCCAGAGCTGGAGTTCTTATTTCTGTAGAGGGGACCCTTTCAAGAGTGGTCATCGCCAGCAGAATCTGGGACTTCTCCGGTGTCCGCCGTGGAGAGAGACTCCAGTGGTCAAGAGCTCCGGAGAGGCAGAGAGGAGTAGTAAACCGCCGAGTCTGCTCTCAGGCTGCTGACCGCAGGCTCTGTGGGAGCCTAAGCTACCCTACCGTGTCCATCAGTGGAAGCTCTGAGGGCAGGAGTTCGTGGACCCCAGGGATGGGGCATGGTAGGCTAGGAGTTTCCTCGCCTCTCCTGGTGACTGTTGGGCTGGTGGGACCAACAGGACCTCTGCGTACAGGCTGTCTATGGCATGATACGAGTTTGAAATGAGCGGTCCTGGAGAATTCTAAACGAATCTAACTTCTCCAAAAAGTGCCCCAGTCTTCCTAGGTGTTCTGGGTCCTGCCCTCCACCCACTCCTTCATATTCTGCTAAGTCTGGCCAACTTCTCTTAAACAGATGCGGGGGCGGGGGCGGGGGCGGGGGGGGGCGGCGGTAAGGATCCCACCCGTTGCTCTCTTTTGCACAGAGCTCAGAGAGGCCCTTGGCTTCCCGGGGTTTCTTCCCAAAGTCGCACCCAGAAGAAAACAGGACCCTGGATGGCCTCCAGGAGTTTGGGCAGCCACACTTTGGGGGGTTATTCACCAAGGGACTCAAAGAGGGATGCCGCATTTCTCAACTCTAGGGCATCTTGAATTTCGTTTCCTAACTTTCTGAGGCTGCTACTGACCCAGGAAGCAGTCACTTAGGAGTCCATTGAGGTGACTTCAGTACCCAGGTACACAATCCTGTAGAGTCCTGTCCTGCTTTGTTAAGGAGCTCCCTGAAAAGATCTGAGAGCCAAAGGCCAAGGTCCCAACTTTGCTTTCCCACCCTTCTCCAAGTCCTCTTCGTTCTCAAGTTTGCTCTGAAGCTGAATCAGTTTTTCCAGATAAGTCAGTAAAGTGGCATCTGAAACAACCCACTTGCACGATCTTTGCCTTAAGACCAGAGCACTGCCACCTTGGCACCAAATACAAAACTCTTGACCCCCATCCCCACCCCATTCCCCCAGCCCCCCCCACACACACACAGTGGTGGAGGTAGCAGGGCTCTTTTAGGGATCTTACTACCTGGAGGTCTCTGGAATTCCTAAGGCATATTGACCAAGTGGTGCCGCCCCCACACTCAGGAAGTCAATAAGAAAGACGAAATAACTAGAACTGAGTTGTAAGGAGTCCTCAGCTGGAGATGGGATGTACAAGCCTCAGGAGGGTCTTTATTTTTTATGTTGAGTTACTCTTCTTAAATGTATACCAGTCAATTTCGGTACTTTGACTTTTAGTATGGAAATTCTCCAAGTTTTGCCTACTTCGGAGACCTGAGACTGGCACCCAAGAACTTCTTAAGCCAGAGTAGGAGGAAGTCTGTGAAGCCAGGCAAGGGAATTCCTGACTGGACTTTATTTCTATCTTGTCCCCGACTCTTGGAAGGGAATAATTTCAACTCCCCTCTGCTCAAGACTCACCGTTACTAAGCTTCTAGACACAGGCAAATGTATGTAGGTCTTTAACTTGGACACCCACCAGAGGGATGCTGTGGGTGAAGCTCTTGAGTGAAGAGTATAGCCCCACCTCTTTTTCTATTCCTTCCTCTAGCCAGAGACTGCCAGGCAGGTTCTCTTATAAAGACATGCAAATACCAAGTCAGTTTTAATTACAGAAGGCAGGCAGATAAGGATGGGGGAGAGGGTGTGGGTCATCCTTCCTGACTATGCCCTAGGTTGGGAATCAAATCCTGCTACCTCAAGAAAATCTCACAGATCAGCTTTGCATGCTAAAACTGGAGACACTCTTTTAAAAGGACTGTGTCAATGTGTCAGAGAGGCATCTGGCCCCCAGGAAGCCCTGTGTGTGTGTGTGTGTGTGTGTGAGAGAGAGAGAGAGAGAGAGAGAGAGAGAGAGAGAGAGAGAGAGGGAGGGAGGGAGGGAGGGAGGGAGGGAGGGAGGGAGGGAGGGAGGGAGGGAGGGAGGGAGGGAGGGAGGATTCTGCAGTCAGTCCTAACTCTGGGGCAAAGTCAGGAAGCCTAGTGAGAAATGCTCAGGTAGTCCCCTTGAGGAAGACAGGTCAGGCATTCCAGGAGGTGGTGGGGAGGGATCAGATGGAGGTTGGCTGGGGTCAGCCGTAGGTCAGTCCTAGGGATCAACAGTAAAGACACTACTGGAGGGTACATAAGACACAGACAAGGAAGATGTAGTTGCTCTAGGCTGAGCCCTGATGACTTCCTCTACAAATCCAATCCAAACCCAGTTGCATTGGTCCCAGTGCCTCCTCGGCTCTCCCAACACGCTCCCACCCACCCTAAGACGAGACTGGAGCTTCAGTGTGGAATCTGAGTTCTGAGTTCCGAGGAACTAGCTCCACTCCTCCCCATTCGCTCTGCGGTGGCTGTTTCTACGGAACTCCACATCCCAGGGTCTGTGGTCAGCCATAGGCACTCGGATGTTATGGCTCACTGCAGTCAGTAATCTCTGCCCTTCCGCACCAGGAACTAGCTAGCTCTTCCAGAGTCACCGCCCAGGTCCCAAGCACTATTTGGTGTCAGAGCGCTGCTCCATGCCAGGGGTCTGTCGCCTCTAGGAGGAGTTTCTCAGAAGAGCACCGACCTTGCCAAGCTACAAACTATGTGCATGCCTAAGGTGCTGGTGTCGGGACACACCGGGCTCTTCCTGGCTTTTATAGGCACAAATTCAATCCCAGAACTCCGAAATGTTCGGTTCTAGCCCACTCTTGTCCGGTAGGAGTTGTTTCCTCTACTGCCTGCCCTTGTGTGTCTTGAAAACAAAATACAAAAAATGTCGAGTGGGACTGTCGGGGAGTGGACACCGGTCGGGAGAAGCAGAGGCCAAGCTAGCACAGCTGCCAAAGTCGGCTGCCCCGGTCAGCAGAACTTTGTTTCTCAGTGCGCAGGCGCAGGCAGAGTTGGGGGGGCAGGGGAGGGAAGGGAGGGGAGGAATCGCGAGGCAAGGGGCGAGGGGGGGGTAGGGGTGGTGGATTAAAATAAGTAGGCGGCTCGGTGCTAAGGGATGAGTGAGACGTAGCTCGGGCCTCTCCCCAGCAAGTTCTCACCGGCTCGGGTTCAGACCCAGAAAGGGAGCCAGGAGCGGAGCTCACCAGACCCCGGCAGGCAGGACTCCGGGGCTGCGGAGCGCTCCCGCTTGTCGGATGCTTGGAGTCCCTGCGACTACAGGCGCAACAGGACTCCAGCTTGCCAGGGGTGCCAGGAGGCTCCAGGGTCTCTGGTTCCTCGAGTCCAGCGCAGCGAGCCTCAGAGACCGGGGGACTGCGACGGAACAAGGTAACTGCAGCGCCGGGCGCCTGGGCTCAGCGAGGCGAATGCGGGCAAGACTCCTGGTTCCTTGTTGTAGCTGGTGCCTCCTCTTTTCAGGGTCCCTAAAGGAAGTTCTTGCCAATGGAAGGCAGCAGGATCTTTGTGAAAGTGAGAGCCGTTGCAGCGTAGGGTTGATGGGGGTGCTCCTTCAAAGACTTCTGACTTTGTGTCCTTGTTGGCCTCTGACCTCGGTGGAAAGGTGGGAAATGAGGGGTTCGGACCATTGAAACCAAGCGTGCTTGGCTAGGCAGAATTTCCGTTAAGGTGCCCACAGACTTCGTAAGGCAGTCTGCGGGCTCCCTTTAGAAACTCCCAGAGCAACTTTGAGAAAGCACAAACTTTTGCAGGGCGCACGTTTAATTCAAACTGGCCCGAGGAAGAGGGGAGAGTGTGTGGATGGTCATAATCCAAGCCTATAGCACCCGGGACAGGTGCATTACCCCAACCCTGTTGCGCTTTAATGGGAGTTAGTCTTTTGCGGAGTTGGTCTTCACATAGGAAGCCCTCAACCCCAAGGACCACAAGGCTGCTCCCGGTCTGAAGCCCGGCTCTGTGGTTGGGATGATCACAGGGTTTCTGTGTGTCCTCGGGCCTGCAGCTCTGGGGTAGGGAAGCATCCTGGGGGCACAAACGAACGTTGTCTTCTAACTGGAGACCCGAACACCCGAGAAGCAGAACCGTGCTGGAGCTGCAGATGTCTCCGGGGTGGAGATTCTTTTGCTCTTTAGGTAGTCGCCTAACCCAGGCATCAGTGGGAAAGATAGGAGCCCGAAATGAGAGAGAAATTGAGGGCGGCTGTTGTTTGCTGAACGAATCCTTCCTCCCATCAGCAGCCCTGATAAGAATAAAAATTCTCCCTCGCAGCCCTTTCTCAGCAGCCCGGGCGCAAGCCGGGTGGGCCCCAGAACACAGTTTGGCTGCGAGGGTTTCTTTCAGGCAATAATTCGATGAATTTCATCCAGCATGGGACCTGCAAGTTGGCTCTTTGAAGAGAACCACGTGCAAATCTATTACTAGTTTCACAGCCTCCCAGGGAAGAAGCGGGCTGACTGACAGGGATGGGGGAACGAACCGGCTACTGACAACTGGCTGGTAGATGGTCTATCCCAGGCTCTCTGGAAAGTAATTGTGGTTTCATTAAGATTGGGAAGTAGACTCCTGGGAACCCAGCGGGCATCCCAGTATCGCAGTATGGTGAACGAAAGTGGGTTCGTTCGATCTCGTTTGTTGGAAAAATGCAGCCAAAGTATCCAGTGCTGGTCAGTCCTTTGTACCTGGATCCCAAAGCCTGTCACCTTTCAACTGGGAATTCCATGTCAAGGATGATTTGGGGGGTGGTGCCCCTGGGCTTCTTTAGGCACAAGCTCGTGGGGTTCGCTCTGTCCTCATTAATGCAAGCAGTTAACTCGCTCACGCTCAATTAGCTCCGAATAAACCACTTTAATAGGCTGCACACTTCATTAATGCCCTGAACAGGGCTGGCGGCAGACGCGGGATTGGGACTTCAATGACTGTGCCATGCAAGGACCCCTGCTCTGAGGCTCGAATTGAGTTCACTGTAGCGAGTCGGGACACTTACTAGTGCTTCCCATGTCTCCAGGCCTGAGCTCCATGTAGAGAGGATGCTGGGCCTTAGCCTAGGTGGTCCCGATCGGGTTAAGAGATGAAAAGCTCAGGTCCGGGTCCTGGAGGGGCTGGAGGTGGCAAGCGCTGGAGCTGGAGAGGCCCCGCTGTTTGCTCTTCTTTTCAGGCCGCAGAGGCAGCATATCTGCCTGTGTTTTCCTCCTAACTGATCCGCTTGAAACCAGATCTCGTATTTGGCCCATTTGCAGCACTGATGTAAAGAGCCACGTTTCGAACGAAATTCGCCCACAGGGAAAGAGTCCGTGGCAATGACCCCTGGAATCCCAAGCCTCAGAAAGCTCCAGAAAGTAAACTGCCTGGTCCGTTGAGAAAAATAAATGGAGTGTTGGAGGAAATAAGATTAGGCAGATAGGCTGTAAGTACCACCCCTCCAGGATCCCAAGGCCCCTCCAGTCTTTTTTGACTCCTCAGATGAAGTAAGGAAAAGTCAGGAGAAAGTTTGTGGGTTCTACCAGCCCTAGGCTTTCAAGTCACAGTGTTTCTGCCACCATCACTCCTTGACTTCCCATAGGCCTAGCAGGAGAGAAGCCAATGTGGCCTCCCCTTTGCCCAGGCTGGCTCCAATAGAGCCTAATATAGGGATCTAATTTCCAGTCCCTGGAAGGGGTCGGAAATCAAAAAGCATTCAACTAGCCTAGATCCTGCAGACCTTTGAAGTTGGTGGCTGCCTCCCCCAATCTGAAGGGGTCCCTAGTTTCCTCTTCAGTCTGCTTTTTCCTTGTCCCAGATGTCCCCCCCCCTTTTTTCCCCGGCTGGCACAGGTTTTGTGAGTTGGGTAGTAGAGAAGGCTGGTGCAGACTACTCTGCTAACTAACCAGGCTGGATGACAGCAGATGTGTGGTTTCCTTATCTGGGAGGCCAAATTAATTACAGACAAATTTCAGCCAGCCTGCTCTTGTGTTCGGGGCACGCATCATGCGGCATCCCCACCAATAAGGTCTGTCTTTGGATCTAGCTGTACCGACAGTCACCTTCCTGTTAGCCACTAAGGTGTCCTGGGTAAAGTGTCCTCTAGTGCCCCCCGCCCCCCCACACACACAATGAAAAGGTTCTGAGCATCTCTGGACCAGCCAGGCATTTTTAGAGCTCCAGGTGGAGGAAGAAAATCAACTCCAATCTCTGCCTTGCTTTCAGGGTTGAAGATGTTTAGACCTCCAGGTGCCAGTCTGAGCCATGAAGACAGAGGCCAAAATGTAGCTGATACACCCCAGAGATAGAGGAGAGATAGAAGAAAGAGAAAGGGATGCACAGAGTCGAGGAAGAAATCAGTAGCCAGAGATTGACATTGGGGAAGGAAAAGGAATTTACAGACACCCTGCTCTGATGACTTGGGTACTGTCATTGAACCCCAAGCCCAGAGGTTTTCCAGGGGTTCCTAGTATTTTTGGCTTTCCTACCCCCCACCTTGTTCACTGTATAGACCCAAATTAGAACTATCTGTAGGGACCAGATATGAAGGACATCTTTGCAGAACCCCCACCCCCACTTTCCCATGCACACTGAAGAATTCCACCAATGTAGTCAGAAGATGCCAGCTCTGGATCACTTCAGTATGGCGCCAACCTTATTCAAGAACCCTGAGCTTGCATTCGGAGAGTAAACAGAGCACAGCAGTGTAGGCCTGGCATTAATGCTCCAACCTCCCCCAATGACCTTGCCCAAGGTTCTCCTAATACATAGGAAGCCTGAACACTCCGAGAAAACCAGCTCCCCTGGAGGAGGGCACATGAGCTCTCTCATAAGGAATTGCAATGGTTTGACTGAACGAGCAAACTGAACATGGATGCCCTTTCATGAAATGGGGGTCACCACCAAAGGTTGGGGAGTCAGTCTGCAACCAATTACCAAGAGGACAGAGTCCACGGGGTTCACCAATTGGAAGGTGCACAGCAAACTTAGGTCCAAATGAGAGTTTTAAAGATGATGGCATGATTGTTTGGGCTTTGGGAAACCAAACCTTAACCCCTAAACCTAACATTGCAGGGACTGGATGGTATGCATATTTAAAGACTCCTGCATTTTGTATGGGGCTGTCCCACAAAACACTGGCTGTTCCTCTTTGTCTCTGAGCCTTCTTGTTGATTCTGCTTCAGGACATGTGAATCTGAGTGTGTAAGTGTGCTTTCCGAGATTCTGTCATTGTTACAGGACCATGTAATTCTGTGTGGCCCCAGGTTTGCCTGGGTGTGGATGTCGGTGTCTGCATGTCATGCCTGTGTTCCTGTGTTTGCATCTTGCATCCTTCACGGTTGACAGCAGGCGTTTATTTTAAGTTGGTTGTGTCTGTCTTTAAGGACTTAGTTTCCCATTGATGGCTCTGTCGACAATGTGTCTCTCTTCCACACACCATTTGAAGGGAGTGTGACCATCATAGAGGATTCTGGCCAGACAGCCCTCCTCTGTTTTGAGAGGGCCATTGAGCTCATGGGCGGGTCTTTGATTCCCACCTCCTGTCTGCCCTAAGGGAAGGAGAGGGTATAACTGGACTGGGATTCGGGAGGAAGGTGACCAATCTGAACATCTCTTTGGTTCTCTCCCCACCCTTCTTCCTGTCTTTGCAGATCAATAATCGAAATCATTGCAGCTTCCAGCTACAGAAATGGGCAGCAAAACCTTGCCAGCACCGGTGCCCATCCACCCGTCCTTGCAGCTCACCAATTACTCATTCCTTCAGGCAGTGAATGGCCTGCCTACCGTCCCTTCGGACCACCTGCCCAACCTGTATGGTTTCAGTGCTCTGCATGCTGTGCATCTGCACCAATGGACGCTGGGCTACCCAGCCATGCACTTGCCACGTTCCTCTTTTTCTAAAGTGCCAGGTGCGGTGTCCAGCCTGATGGACGCTCGCTTCCAGTTGCCCGCCTTTCCCTGGTTTCCTCATGTCATCCACCCTAAGCCAGAGATCACCGCCGGAGGCAGCGGTGCCGCGCTTAAGACCAAGCCGCGCTTTGATTTCGCTAACCTGGCCTTGGCTGCCACACAAGAAGATCCCTCCAAGCTCGGCCGAGGGGAGGGTCCTGGTTCTCCAGCTGGTGGGCTGGGTGCCCTCCTGGATGTGACCAAGCTATCCCCAGAAAAGAAGCCCACGAGGGGACGCCTGCCTTCCAAGACTAAGAAGGAATTCGTTTGCAAGTTCTGTGGCCGTCACTTCACTAAGTCCTATAACCTACTCATCCACGAGCGGACGCACACGGATGAACGGCCTTACACCTGTGACATCTGCCATAAAGCCTTCCGGAGGCAAGACCACCTACGGGATCACAGGTGCGGCAGTATAGCATCGCGGGTGGCCCCCAGGGATCTGTTTTGGCTGCTCTGGCATTGTGTTTTCCTCCTCCCCAACCCTTTAAGGTTCCTAAGAGTTCCTGGTGACTATAAGCATTCCCATATCTCTGGGAATTCTCTAAAACCATGAGTGAGCCCCCCCGCACCTCTTCCCGCCCCCTATCCAGAATAGGTTTTAGATCGTGGGTGAAAGAAATCCGGTAATGACTAGGATATAAGATTAGAACTTCACAAGGTTGGGTCTCCTTGCCTTCTTAGTCCCCGGAAACTGTCCAATAGGAGTTCCTGCAATGACGGAGAGGTTTGGAAAGGAGCACTTGAATAGGAAGCCAGAACGTTTTAGTTTTATGCATTTCTAGTTTTCAAGAATCTCGCGGGTTAGTGTCTACTTCTCGGGCAGTGCAGATCTAGAGACTGTCTGACCCTAGGTCTGTTGACTGCCCTCCAGTATTGACTCGGCCTTTAGGAGGAGGTGCCTACTTATCACCGGCAGGAAGGCAGGTGGTCTATTTGTCTACTCTGTTTATAGAACCAAAGCTCCCCTCCATCTCCTCATTCTTAAACCTACAGTCTCGGCCTGTGGCCGGATCTCTCCTTTGCCTCTTTCCTCTGTAACCACAAACACCTTAACAGCAGTGGGAGGGGATCTCGGACAGCCAAACATAAACAACATTGCATTATGTTGTCTGTCTCTACTCTTAGATATATTCACTCCAAAGAGAAGCCTTTCAAGTGTCAAGAGTGTGGGAAAGGATTCTGCCAGTCCCGGACTCTCGCTGTCCACAAGACGCTACACTCACAAGTGAAGGAGCTCAAAACCTCCAAGATCAAATGCTAAATAAACACAGCCTGCCGGGCACCAGGACCCTGGGACGCGCTGCTGCCTCCTTTTCCAGAGGGACCCAAGCTGAAGGCGACTCTGCGGGCAGCGGGAGGGGCTTTTGGGATCTTTCTTCCACTCCAACACCGTCCCCTGGGTCCCTAGCACTTGCGGCGTTCCAGAGCCTTGCCCGGGGCCATGACTCCTACAGCCTGGGCGGCTCCCCCAGGACGCGGCTAAACTCTTGGCCAAAAGGCGGAACTCAACTCACGTGGCGGAAGGGAAACTACATTAATAGAAAAAAAAAAAAAAAAAAAAGATCGAAAACTCCGCCGAGCCACAGTGGCGCCTCTCCCAGAAGTATTACTTTTTCTATTGTTATTTTATACGTTTTCTTTATTTTTTTTCCCCTTTGACCATATAAGCTTGTAAAGTCTTGACTGCGGAGAGGGGAAAGAAAAGATTTGCGCGCCCTGGCAATTTCCAGTCCCTCCCCCTTCCCCAGCCCCACATCGGGGAGCCTGCGAAAGTGTAATCCTTGTATCTGCTTCTGCCACCGGGTCCCAGGGGCCGCTGGCTCCGCGCGACTCCCGGGCGCTCGGGCTGCACCGCTGACCTCTAGCTCCAGGCGCGGAAACAGGGCTGAGGACCAGGTGCCCGGGGATGTCCGGGCTCGGACCTCGGCTCCCCCGCTCCATCGCTGCGGGCGTGTGAGCCGCCGGCCAGGAGCCGGGCGTTGTATTGCGACTGGCACTTTATGCTGACCATCGGTAACGGACATTTATCACTGGAGTTTTTTTTTTAAACTATTAAATAAACGGTTATTTTACAGGCATGACAGAATGGATGCTTCCTCTCCGGCCGCGAGGGGAAAAGCTCTTTTATTTAGAGAGGAGCAGATTTCTCTGTTCAATTTCTACCTGTCAAATTTTCTCTCCTCGTCCTGTTAGGGCAACAGGGCTAGGATGGGGAGGAAACACTGCTTCTGGCGTGTTGGTCGACCTCTGTACTTATTTCCTTACTTTTCAGTGTCAGGGCCCGGTCTCCTAACTCCCCAAATCCGAAAAGCTGTAACTGCAGAGAACGAAGTCTGTAGCCCCCCCCCCAACTAAGCCTTGAGAAATCCCTGCCCCTCTGATCTCTGAGTGCAGGGGTCATGCGGGTCCCACGAGGGAACAGTATCCCGTGTCTTTTGCCATGGGGTGAGATCTTCCTTCACGGGTTCTCAAAGCCATTCATGGTCATCAGCATGTGTCTGCAATATGCAACCATCAGTCTTCCCGAAGCCCCCCCCCGTCGACATCCTAATCTGTTTTCTTTGGGAACCCCTTACCCCCAATTCTGGTCTTTGGAGCTTGTCCCCCACCCGAATCTCAGCTCCAAACCTACGATTCTTGATTCCTAGCAATTTGGAAACCTTGTGAGGGATGGTGGGGGCAGACACCCTGGGATTCCCCTCCCCTCCCGGCTTAGAAACAGAAATACGAGTTCACCCCCTCCCCACCGCCCCCGGCAAACTGAATCTACCCTTGGGCGTTTAGTTTTCCCACAATTAGAAATAAGGCCATCAGGGTTTTCCTGCTTGGGGACTGGGCCGGGTTCCCCCAGTTCCAGCACCCAGACCGCATGATCCCGCAGACGGTGGTGCCCTTGGCCTTTCCCAAACCAAGCCTAGCTTTCTTTGCTTCAACTACTGTCACTATGTAGGAGTGGGGACCATTGGGTTGTGCTTCCTTGCATCAATGACCCAAACCACAGCCTCAAGCAGGGTCCTGAGGACCGAGAAAGCTAGTTCGGATTGCAGTAGTTTAAACGCTCTTGCCTTTCATGGCTAGTCTTTCTCCAATCTCTTCTGAGAACTCTGCCAAGCCCAGGGGAGGCTAGACCATTGCGTCCCAGGAATCAATTTAGAGTTGAGGGCATATGGCCTGCCTGGGTGAGTACCATCTATCGAGTTGGAGGCTGTGCTGCCCTCTGCTGGATAGGCCTGGATGGACGACGCAAGATTGGGGTACTTTCCACAACCATTAGGAAAAGTTGCCACGGCATCTATCCATTATCCATCAGCATATAAGGTGTCTCCCTCCAAAACTTCTCGAATGGTCGTAGGACCTACTTATCAGTGAGCAGTGTGCCAGGTCAAGAGTACTGGGGGATTGCCCCTTGACTGTTAAGTGCCCAATGTCTTCTACCAGAGTGTACAAGAGCAAGGCCCCAAAGCGAATGAAACCCTTCTCCAAGAGTCTTGGGGCCCTTGGGTTCCTTCCTGGAAGGGCTGTTGATTTGAAGTGTTGGAACCCAGGGTCAACCAGGTCAGGACATGAGATGGTCTATATCACTGTTTATGGTAAGACAAGTTGCAGTGACATTGGGTTCCTTTATATGGGCCTAGTGAGGAGGATGGTATTGCTGATTGAGTGGATACACACACACACACACACACACACACACACACACACGAGAGAGAGAGAGAGAGAGAGAGAGAGAGAGAGAGAGAGAGAGAGAGAGAGAGAGAGAGAGAGAGAGAGAGAGAGAACACTTTCAGGGACTGTAAGAAAGCCATTTTGTGTTCTTTCTGGAATTCTGTTGCCCCCTGGCCCTGACTACCACAGCTGTCCCCTCACTCCTTTCAGGACACTCAGAACCTCTGCAGTTAGCCAGGCCCCCGGGACATCATTAATGCCGTGGAATGTTCCAGAAGGTTTGCTTGGGATGTTTTCCTTTTTGGCGCATTCCACTTCTGGCATGGTGAATCTCAAGCCCCACCCTGGGTCCAGAGGCTGAGAGGCTTTCAGTATCAAACATGCATCCTCAAAAAGAATGAACTCCCTGGGGCAGACATTTTAGCATGGTGCAAAGGAATGGGGCACCAGTCTAGACAAAAATACCCAGACTCCTGAGGATGCCACATGCTGCTCTCATGGTTCACGGTGTGAAAGCAGAGCCTAATTTTTAGGAGCATTTGCTCCAAGGCATGGCAATACTATGCAGGTGATCACTCAACAGGCCCCAATTCTGGAGCGATGTGACTGGGACAGTTTCTCCTCTGGTACCCGGTGTGCCTTTGTGAGCACACCACACACACACACACACACACACACACACACACACACACACACACACGAGTGGAGGTAGAGACAGACAATGGGTAGATTTCTCTTGCCTGCTTCAACTCTTCCCCCACACTCCTAGAAATTTCCTCTCCTCTCTTGGCCCCACTCTGCACCAAAGGAAGCTCTTCAAGCCCTTCTCTCCAGACTCTGATGCCTAACATGGCCTTTGGAGAACTGGTCGACTTGCAGGTGTTGTGTGGGAAGTAGTTACCAGGCCTTGGGTGAGCAGTTTGGAGGGTAGAAACCTTGGGGGACCCTTGGTGCATCTTAGAGTTCCTAACCAGGAAGAGATTAGAGGCACCCTGGGATACAGAACAACTTTCAAGGACTCCTCAAGAGGAAGAAGTTTAGGTGCCTGGAGTTCCCACAGCTTTGGAGTTTGCAGCACTCTAGAAATCTTTATCCTAGCCGCTGGGTTCATTGTTCACAGGGGAGAGGAAAGAACCAACCAGAAGGTATAGGAATTCTAGGAGCCACCTCAGTTTCAAGAATGCTTAGACCCCGTGATGTTAAAAATCCTCTAGAATCATTCTGTCTCAAACATAGGCTCGGCCCACTTTCCAAGGCATCAGGGCGTAGTGACGTCACGGCCTCCCCAGCCTTTTTTTTTAGACACAGTGGCATCACATCGGCCCCTGGCCAGAGCCCAAAGGCACCATAACATCTTCGGCTGCAAAGCATTACCGTAGCTTTATGAAATCACAGACCAGACCGGTTCCGCCTGGAGCAGTGATGACCACTCATCCCAGTCACGCCCCGAAAATAGTGCCCTCGGAGGCGCAACGAATAGCTCGGTTCCCACCAACGTGATCCGCAGATCCGAATACTGGCAGGTGCCTTGTGTGAGGAGCAGCGACCATTGCTTTCTCCTCGGGATTCCGTGGTGGTGGTTTAGGCAGACCACACTGGTTCCAGAGCCAACTATCGCTGTGCACCACGCAGGCCCCTCCCACTTTGACTGCTTTCCCCTCCCACCGCGCAAGCTCTGCGTGCACGCAGGCGCAGGAGGGACTCGGCAGTCTCTGAGAAGACTGCAGGGATCGTGAACTGGACCTGGGGAGGTTCGGTAGTTGTTGCGTCTTTGGTGTTCCACCTTCAGGGATGGGGGGCACGACCCTGCGTCGGTATCCCGCCATAACCCTACGCGCTAGAGGTGCAGAGTTAGTTCGCCGTGAATGCAGCATGCACTCTTGAAACCCTGCAAAGTCTTCAGTCCAATTTGTCGCCGATAGAAGTGCTGCAAATTCAAACCGCAGGGGGTGTGGCGGGGGGGCTGCAGAGTCCCAGAAAGTCCTTTGGGGCCCCTGCCCTTCCGGATAGGATGTCTGAGGCAGAGTTCTCCACCAGAGCCCTGGGGGACTCTGCACAGCAAGGTCTGCCTAGATCTCTTACCTACCTATCCAACCAGACTTTCTTTACAGCCCAGCAGGCCCAGTTTTCACGTTTCATAAGGAAAAATTCACCAGGGATACGAAGTATTAGTTGGGGTCAAACCTCATGTCAGTGGCAGAGGAAGAATTAGAAGCTCTGTTTTCTTTGAGGCTCTGGGCCAGAAGACTTTCTTTTCTTAAAATACACAAGCTTCGGGCAGGCTTCTGAATTTCTGAGCCTCAGTTTTTCTCTAGCAGCTGGGACAGTGCTCTCCCATCGCCGCATCCAGTTGATGGGAGAGAAAAGTCCTACATATCTAATAACGTATTTATTGCTTTAACCTATGATTGTACCCCAAAACGATGCAGATCAGCTCTAACATTTATGAGCCACGCAGATGTAGTGCCAGCTCCCTGCAGTTGCCCGCCATTTAAACTACAGGATTCCTAGGGAAGTCGACCCCATTTCCACTTTTTGGAGGAAGTTCCAAAATCGTGTGTGAGATGAGAGAGGAGAGCTTGTATTGGTGGCCTTTGCGCACATGTGTGTCTGTGTGTGTGAAAATGTGTGTGTGTGTGTGTGTGTGTGTGTGTGTGTGTGTGTGTGTGTGTGACTGTGTACCATAGTGGGCGGTGAGAGGATGACACTGGCTGTTTTCCTGTAACGCACTCCTTATTTTTTGAGACAGGGTCTCTTGCTTGAACTGGAAGCTTGCTGTTTCTGCTGGACCAGGCTAGTTACTGAGAAAAAGGAGTTCACAGGATGCTCTAGCAATAGCATGGTAACATCGGCACATACCTTCACTCTAGCAATAGCATGGTAACATCAGCACATATCTTCACTCTAGCGATAGCATGGTAACATCAGCACATATCTTCACTCTAGCGATAGCATGGTAACATCAGCACATATCTTCACTCTAGCGATAGCATGGTAACGTCAGCACGTACCTTCACTCTAGCGATAGCATGGTAACGTCAGCACGTATCTTCACTCTAGCGATAGCATGGTAACGTCAGCACGTATCTTCACTCTAGCGATAGCATGGTAACGTCAGCACGTATCTTCACTCTAGCGATAGCATGGTAACATCAGCATGTATCTTCACTCTAGCGATAGCATGGTAACATCAGCACGTGTCTTCACTCTAGCGATACCATGGTAACATCGGCACATATCTTCACTCTAGCGATAGCATGGTAACATCAGCACATACCTTCACTCTAGCGATAGCATGGTAACGTCAGCATGTATCTTCACTCTAGCGATAGCATGGTAACATCGGCACATATCTTCACTCTAGCAATAGCATGGTAACATCAGCATGTATCTTCACTCTAGCAATAGCATG